TCAATTTTATTAATAGATATGGTACAATTCAAATTTTCTATTTTTAATTGTTGCAGTTTTGGAGTCTTGGAGTATTTTGGTCAAGTAACTTGGCCATTTAATCTAAAATTTACTAATATAAAATGGTTCATGATATTCTCTTATTAACCATTTAGTGTCTGTAGTACGTATAGTGATGCCTGGTTTTTAGTTCCTTCTATTGTTCATTACTGAGGCTTTTCCTTATTTTTTTCTTTGCCGGTCTTGTTAGGATTTATCAAGATTAACTGACTTTTAAACATCATAGTTTGTGCTATGTCTGTTTGTTAATTTGTGAATTTATGATCTTATCTTAATTTTCATTGTTTACTTTTGTAGGATTTATTTACTATTCCTTTTTAACTTCTGTTGAAGTTTAGATCACTGATTTTGCATCTTACTTCTTTTTCAATTTTATCTAATGTCATTTCTACTCCTATTAAGAAGTTCCTATGTTTTTCTCTACTAATTAATGAGTATAAATTATATTCTTATATGCTACTTACATATGGCATAATTTTGGATAATTCTTAAATTAATGGAAAAACTCTATTTGACCATATAATATTTGGCAATATTCTACTATATAATATGAGTTAACATTATATTTGGAATCTTTGTAGCTCCGGTGATAAGTGATTAACAATTAGGGAGTCATTAAATTATATATATACATCCATATGATGCTGTAGTGTGGATCCATAAAAAATATATCATCAAAGTGGTAAACTTCATGGGAAATTTTCACAAATGTCCCTCTTATTAAAAACATATTCATATCTTAGGAATTTACCTCAATGCAGCAGTGCTGAACTTGGAGTAGGGCATGCAAAGTGAAGGTGAGAGGATGGATTACCCTAAAAAACACATAGACGTGAGTATTTAATATGATTCATTTTCTTTGCCTCTAATCTCTATGTTGACATAAAATCAGTACTTTTCTCTAAGCTTGGAACTAATTTTCATTGCCAGAGTCACAACTTTTTCTTTATCATTAGAGGGGAGACTACTTTCAGTTACAATTAAGCAGCAAACTTACTACTGGTGAAATGATTTCATTTCTTTCCATTATTCCTAACACAAAAAAAAAAAGAAAAAGAAAGAAAACTGAATTAGAATAGGAAATGTATAAGAAACTGAAACAAATTCTAGCATGCTATGTAAAGGGCATAATAGGAAACCATGGTTTGATATGACCACTGTGTTAGAAGTTCCCTCTCTAGAGAGCCACTCCCCAAAGATGGCCTTCACAAAAGTGACAAGATCTGGATATTTCAGCTGTACATTTGATTCTGTTTAGATCATGAGAAACTATATTCTCTTTGCAGCTGTTAAGTTGCCTGTTACATCTTCTGCCTATATAAGTAAGAGGACCACAAAGAGCAAGCCCTAAATGATGCCCTTGATGGATTTATTAATTCTGCAATATTCTTGCTACTAAAAGCCTCCTTAGTAGTTCAAATGAGTTTTCACACTAACGTGTGGAACACAATTACATTGGGTTTTTCTGAGATCTGAGGCTAGAGTTTACACTCTGATGTGGAGGGTGACATTCAACTATACCCTCCATGTATCTTTAGGTAAGTGTGAAGTTCTCATGACTCCAACTTCCCTATTGCCATCCTCCCATCCCTGCTATAGGTTTCTATTGTACCACTGAATCTGTGAAATATTAATGCATTGATTCTCCAGAATGAAACCCAAGGTTTCATCAGAAAGCTAATAAAAATGATATTTCAAAAGTTCAGTTAGAGTTCCGGCAAAATGGCGCTCTAGGCAGAAGCACCACGCCATCCCTCCACAGAAAAGATCTGAAAAACTAAGCCAAACAGAGAATACAACAATCCTGAAACCCTAAAACATCAAATGAAGAGATAAAGAACTCAGCCAAGCACCAAATGGCGTGAGAAAACTGACAGAGAAC